AAAATCTAATCGTTAATCAGGGCCTTGACTGTACTGAAGATGACGTCTGTTTTTCATATTGCGTGAAAACATGACTGTGACGCCCTCACACCGTACAATTAAATGGACAGACAGCCGTTCAACCGTCGACAGCTGTACCAGTATATACATGTCGATGTAAAAACACAATTGGCGGACAGTAAATATTCATCTATTTTTAACATATCCCAACTGTGTTCGAGGAAATCAATATTATGGATTCATATTCAACATACAAGGGGGCATGCTAACAAATTTCTGGTCCTGTGCAAGCTTTACTTTACGTTAATTTTGACTGAAATAACCACAATTTCCGATGAGATGCGGCAATGTTGAGAAAAGTCACAAAAACCTACATTTTCTTATAATAATATATTATTTTAAGATACGATTCGTAAACGTCAACATTTCGTCATTAAATATTCCAAACCATACCTTCAAAAATGTTTTTCTTTTAAAGATAAACGGAATAAAAGTTTGAATGTGTTCAAAATTTGAGTAACGTCAGCAGCCGTTTTTTAGAGTATTGCACTATATTAGAACTCTGACCAATCGGAAACTATTTTTATGTTCTCTGAGAATGTGTGAAAATTAATGCGCCTGTCAGTTGCGACTGACGGACTATTTGCGAATTTGGTAGTTAACGTCTGAAATTCTTTTAACATTTCATAAAACTATCCGATATTTGCCAAAAAAGTATCCAATTTTTATAATATTGAATACTTTTCTATCCAATATTTATCAAAAGAATAGACAGTTATTTTGTAAACATTTGCATGTGCGTGTAGATAATAATCAATGAATAGTAATATACATATGATAACAATAAATTTAATGATAATGTATATGTTGTTTGACTCATAACAATATTCAAACGTTAAGCAATCTTATAGATTGTAAACAGTTGTATGAGAATATAAGAAATATAATAAATACTCACTAATATGTGTCTTATTCAAATTTAGTGTTTTGTGTATTTTTTCATTTTGTTTTCTTAATAGAATCACTCAGAAACTGATGTTATAGAATATTTGTGTCCATAATTAAATGAAAGGGAATACTCTCGGATGGATGTTTAATTAAGAATCAAATACGTGTTACCACGTTTTTTAAAACGTCAAGTCTAGTCAAACTATCAATTAAACTTGTCAAGAGACATCGAGATAATTTTTGACGGCGATGTCTTTTTCCTTGATAGTACGGAAAAAAGTTTTAAAATGGGTCAAACCGTTCACGCCGAATTAATAAGGCTACGTAAAGACCTACTAGTAGGTCAAAGGGGCATAAATTGGTTAACAAGCAATTATCATAGTATTGCAAGCAATCCATAAGTCCCCTACCGGTTTGAACCCAAGCAAAATTCTAAAGGGCCATTGACCATTCACTAATGTTTCAATTTTTCTCTTTTTTAAGAAAGTTTGTTGGAAAAGTTCTTTAAAAGTGATCACAGGAAACAGTCTTTGTGAACAGACAGACTGAAGGAAACTCTAAATTAATTTTTTAAACATCCCTGTTCCCAAAATATAGCATTTTTAAAAGCAAAATTCTTTAAGAGGAGATAACTCTTGAAATAAAGATCCAAGATGTCATACATGATGTGAGTGTAACAAAGAACAATTAGTAATGCGGCTGATTCATAATGAATGTTTATTTTGAATTTGAAAGTAAAAGAAAGTTAAAAGAATGAATAAGAAAAAAAATCAAAGTATAAGGAGGAGATAATTCTGGAAATAAGGATGCTAGATTTATAAACCTTGTCATAGTATTATGATGTGGGGAGTTTGAAGTAAATCCTTTAGGTAATGAAGAAGTTTGGAGTAAAATATACCAATTTCTCGAAACCAATCTAAGTTTAAGGGTTGTCATAATTCTGGAAATAGTCTTGCTAGAGTATTGAACCTTCTCACAAATGATTTGAGTGATAATAAGAAAAATATATTTGAAGTTTGAAGAAGATACATTTAAGAAATAAATAAAAAAAACACATTTTTTCATGTAAGTTTCAAGGGAGGCAATCTCTGATAATTCTTTTGTGCTAGAGTTTAAACCTTGTCACATATGATGTGGGTTTGATAACAAAAAAAACTTATGTTTTGAAGTTTTAAAAAATAATACCTTAAGAAATGAAGAAGTTAAAGTGAAAAAAAACTAATAACTAGAATCAGAAATATTGACCGAGGTATAAACAGCTCTCATTATACTCCTATAATCCAAGATCAAAACAATGATGTCTTTTTTTCAAAATAGGAAGAAAAGAAAAAGACATGCATAATCTCCATACTGCAACCTACCCATATTTCAAGTTTCATAAAAAAATTTCCCGTACTTTTTGCCTTATCACTGGATCCAGTTTATGTGAAAAGTTTGCCATATTTTCAGTCTATTTGTTGCCATAGCAACTAGAATTCTCAACATAGAAAGAAAAGAAAAAGACGTGCATAATATCAATACTGCCATCTATCCATTAGCAAGTTTCATAAAAATATTTTCAGTACTTTTTGCGTTATAGCGGGTTCCATTTTTGTTGACGGACGGATTGTCGGACAACCTAAAGTCCCCTCCAGTAAACCGGTAGGGGACTAATAAACAATATCAAACATGGATTTTCATGGTAACTAGCGAAACCTTTAACCATTCATGAATTTTTGAACGTCGTCATTTCAATACCGGGCTGCATTTGTGGGATCCTCAACAATTATATAAGGGCTAGTGTCGTCTGCAAAAAGTCGTCTGCTCAAATTGACATTGTCTACACTATTGTTGATATTTATCAAAAAGAGCAGAAGTCCGAGGATCATCAAGCCCCGTGGTACGCCGGCATTATTTGATTACCATTTACAAAAACAATAAGCGTATACAACGCGTTGTTCTGCGGTCAGAGAGATAGTTAAGAAGGGGTCCGTTTATTCCAATTCAAGAAAGCTTAGGTAAGAGATTTTGGTGTCAAACTTGGTCAAAAGCTTTAGAGATATCGCAAAACACAGTGCAAACCTTCAATCCTTCGTCAAGAGCCTTGTAGATATCGTTGTATGTGTATGTAATTTGATTTATGGTGGAGTCACCTTTGATAAAACTGGATTGGTAAGGCGAGAAGAGGTTGTTGGTTATAATATTTGTGGATACACTCCCCTAGTCTACCTAAACAGCTTAATAGAGAAATGACTCGGTAGTTTGAATGCTCAGATGGAACATTCTTTTTAAATATAGCAATAACATGGCTTTTTACCGAGAAGTAGGAAAGATAGATTTTGAAAGTAGCATGTTGAAAAAGTCATGGGATGGTTTAGACAAAACAGACGATCCTTTTCTCAGCAATCGGGGATGATTTAAATCTGGCCCACATGCTTTGTATGGGTCAATTAACGAGAAAACATTTGTCATCATCTTCTGTATTTTTGATTTGAGGAAGAGAAGATTTTGTATGCAAGTTCAGATTTGGGAGTTGTGATTTCTGGACATCAATGTTTGATTTGTGTAAAAGAAAAATAAATTTGGTAGTTCTATCATATCTTTGTCGATATTTTGCTGAATTCCGTTATCAAAGAGAACGGGCATTGCTGGCTGGGTTTAGATTGCCTTTTGTGTGGAAGATTTATCTGACATCTGCGCTCCAATACAACTGTTAACCCGTAACATAAATATCTCACACTTGTTTAAGGTTGTGTCTTCCGATGTTTCATACATCTTTTCAAAACTAATGACAGTCGCTTTGTTAAGTTATAATTCAATTTCGCTTATAACAAGAAAAAAGAACTTAAATGTACAAACATTTCGTTTCCCGATTTGTCACGATTACTTCGCGACTCAACTCCATACTGTACAATATCTAGCAACAAGGCAATTTTAATCAAGATCTATTTTTGGAATTCATCAGAGCAGTACATTTCTTGACATCATCTTGTTTTATTGTGGTTGCATTTGACAACACACATTTTCAACCTGTGAACAAAATTATCAAAACAGTTGGCTATTTGAGGTCGGTCGGTCAGTCGGTCCCTCGATCTGTCGGTCAGTCCGTTGATCAAATGGTTTCTGATCATTAACTAAAGAATGATTTGGCCTAGGAACTTCAAACTTGATATGATGATTGTTCATGACCAGTCAATGACCCCTATTGATTTTTGTGTCAAGAGGTCAAGGTCACATTGACCTTGTAGGTAAAAACGGTTTCCGATCAATAACTAAAGAATGCTTTGACCTAGGAACTTTAAACTTGGTATGATTGTTCTTGACCAGTAAATGACCCTTCTTGATTTTTGGATCAAGGAGTCAAAGGTCATATTGACCTTGTAGGTGAAACTACTAAATAATGCTTTGCCCAAGGAACTTTAAACTCGGTATGCTGATTGTTCTTAACCAGTAGATGTCCCATATTGATTTTGGGGTCATAGAGTCAAAGGTCAAGGTCAAATTGACCCTGTAGGTAAAACGGTTTCCGACCAATAACTCAACAACTGAAGTTGGCTCGGTTGATATTTTTTATTAAACTAAATGAGGTGTACACATTTCAAGATCTTATGTAATATAAACAATTGGAGCTGTCATTAAGGTGGTCTGCATGATTCATAAAATTTATGCACATATTATTTTGTAAGATGTGTAATAACTTTGTCATAAAATTGCTGCACACAATCTTTATGGTCTTAATTACCTAGTGACTAGTCATGATCAGTAGATAACTCCTCTTGATTTTTTGGTCACTAGGTGAAAAGTCAGTCATTTAACCTGACCACATAACTAATTGGCTGCGAATGGGGAGTATACATGTTTTAAAAACATTTCTTGTTTAAAATAGCAGGGTTATTACGTGATGCATGTAGAATAGGCGGGGTTTTTTTTGTAAAAAACAGCTACAAAATGATTTAGAAAAAGAAAATCCCTCAAGTTTCAGTGCTGAATCATCTGCAGCATAGAAAGTCGTCATGTTATAACAAAGATGTAAAGTAGATGGTTTGAAGTATTAAAATTCTTTCTTTTTTCAGATGATGTTTTCATATCTTGTGGTCTGTCTTACAACTGTTGGTATTTTTGCTCAGCATAGCAACAACATACATTTTAAGGTAAGATGATAGTGTCTGTAAAGTGTTTTTAATTTTCTTATATAACAAATGCTTTACAGGTGAAAAAGGCATGATTCATTTATAATATACAGATATCTTAGTTTAAAGTTTTTTTAATAAACGTTACGACCTAAATATGATAAAACTAGCTGAACCATATTCTTTTACAAATAACTCCAGAAAACGATTGTTCTGATTTGTTGACAATTTGACCTTTTGATCGTATGAACACATCTGCGGATGTATCTAAATTCTAAATGCGAGTTTGATTTTTATAGGCTGTGTACCAATGCTTGGATGGATAATATGTGTGTGTCAACTAAAATAAAAAAAACACGTTGCTCACACTCTGGAGGTCACAATTTAGATAAGATCTTCATCAGACTTTGTCAGATTATTGATGATTTTGGGTCATCTTTAGTCAACATAGATCAGTAGGTCAAAACAGAACCCATGTAAATACTATATAATTTTTGATTATGTCCCATCAAATTGTGTCAGAATATTATATCGATGATATACATGTCTTGTTTGAATATAGGTCACTTTGGGTAAAAAGCTTGGCCTTCAGTTCAAATGAAATAAAAACCTTGTTCACACTTAAATTAATAATACAGTTTGTTAACAGTCTTAATGTCAGAACATTCTAAAGTGATCTGTATCAACTAAATGTCAGGATGATGAACAGGTCAAGTTGTCAAAATTAGATCACCAGTTATGTCAAAGAAAAAGATTGTCAACATCAAAGAAATTACAGTTTTTATTTAATCTTCATTAGAAAAACTCAGAATACTCATATAAATATTATAAAAAGAGATTTTGAAAGTAATCGTCTGTAAAAATCAAACGATCAAATAAAAGACATACCTTGTAAACACTCTAGATATCTTAATTTTGATTAGATCTTTATCAAACCTTTGTAAGAATATATATCAGAATAATATAGATCAAATTTAAATTTTAGTAAATTTGTGACTTAGTGTTTACATTTATCAAAGTTGGTATAGTTTGGTCATGCTCTTGAGCAATGAAGTTTCTAGAAAATCAAATTATTCAAAATCTGTAATTGTTTAACATAAACAGAGTCCATTTAATGGCTATAAACTCATTCACTTATTAAAAACCAGTTTCTGGATTATAATCGGCTTTCCTCCCCATGAAATTAAATGATTTCAATAGCTCCTATATGTGACCAACCTAAATTTCGCTCCGCTTTTAGAGCTGACCGTGACCAAATACGAAGTCATTTTTGGTGACATTTCACACAGCAAATCATCGGCGAGCTTTCATAATTTTTTAAAAACGATGTGATTTCTAATTTAAACGCTGGGGAAACCCAATATTGAGTAGGTTATTTCACGATTTTGAGAACAAACACGGCGTTGTCCATATAGCCGATAGGTAAACAAGCAAAAAAATAACAATCTTTCCCATATAAAAATTGACTTAAGTTATTTCAAATTAATTGTTAAAAAATGATTTCAAAACATTTTTATAAAAAAAATCATCAATTTGTTTAATTTCCACGGATAATGGTATTCGATACTTCTTCAAATGTCTATGTAAAATCGGTTTAACTGCCTTGCTAAAATAGCTTTCTCTGGAATTCCGAGTTGTTATAAGTTCTACATAAAAGAAATAAGTAGATAGAACGTTTATTTCTTGTTGTTGCTATTCTTTTAGAATATTAATTAACTTCATTGATAACTCTAATATAAGAAGTGGGGATTATAGGCGGGAATTATGAAAATCAATTTGATATATTGCCCTTATGCAGTAACAAAACGGCATCAACTTTAGTACGAAAATTTGTACAACGTATGTATTGTTCTACAATAAAAAATGAACTTTCCGGACATCCCTCGTAGTTGTAATTTTATTGTGTATTATGATGTGTTGATTTACTTTCAGTCGTTTCCCTGTGAACCTGGATATAAAACGAATAAGGACTGTTTCAAAATATACCCTAATATCATATGTACTGCATGCAGTGAATGGGAATACCAAAACTATTGTTTTAACCACTTCACAAACGCAACTTGTATGACCTGCACTGAATGTGACGTTTTAGCAAGTGCTTGTGCTGTAAGCCAATCCTCTTTCTGTAAGCTGAGCAATGACACACAGAAAAATGACACACCGAGAAATGGCACACATATGAATAACATACAAAAGGACATGCTTTGTAAATATATCGTTTTAATTATTGTTATCAACAATCTATTGCTTGCAAAACTTCTTAAGCATAATTATTTTTATGAATTGAAGTATAATTTAGACTTGTATTTAAGTTAATTCTAATTAAATATTTCCGTAATCGATTGCAGCATTTCGAATAATTGTTAGATGGAAATGCATGTTTGTATCTATTAATTATTTCTTTTATAGATGGCGCAATTATCATAGTGCTCTGTGTATTTGCTGTATTTTTGACTTGTATATTTCTCATCTTAAGGAAAAGGTAATTTAATGCTATATATATATTGTTTAAAATACCATTCACACATTCTTGGTGTTAGAAATAACTTATAATCTGTTTCATGGTCAAATGAAATATTAATCATCAGTATTTATGTTTTTAGTGGATGTCCTTATGACTTAAAACTCAGTTTAGGATTTGATTATGAAATAATTTCTACAAAAAAGCATAATCACATAAATATTGCAGCAAATGAATGTATTTACAGAATGAAGAAACGTCGTTTGGAGAATCTATCATGTCAAATAGCTCATGACGAGAATATTTTAATCGAACGGCCCGAGACAAAAATCGAACTGCTTGATAAAAAAATCGAACTGTCAACTCGTATTCGTAAAAAAAAAGATGATAAAGTACCGATGCTGACGAAATATGGTGAGTTTAATCTATTTTTTATCAAATTTATTGATAAATAATTCAAATGATTTGTACTGTTTGTTTGTTGAAGCCCTTATTTCTTTGAGGCATTGACATTTACAGGCACATTTGTTTCTAATATCAATAATAAAAAACCCTTTAGAGTTTGATATGTTTTAACACCTGAGCGAAATGATCTGACCCGTGCCATGTTAGAAAAATCCGAGTCGATAAACCTAAATAGTTGATACTGGCATTAAGCTCTATGTCTGAAATTGCCTTATATTACACGCAACTCATTTCCTTTGTGAATAATAGGTTAAAGTTAATGTATCAATTTGTAAGAGACTGGGATTTTAAAAGAACGCTGTCCTTCCGTCCGAATACATATCTTATAACCAGTTTGTCATATGTTTTTTTTTAAACTTAATATATTTAATATATGGAAAGGAAAATGAGGATCGCCAAGTGCCACGAAATTCCATCAAGGGTTGTTTTAGTGATAGCCCTTTGTAAATTAAACAGTAAATTACGACTTTGAGCAATAATTCACACGTGGCTAGATTGTAATTGAACTAAGCATATTTGACAATGTCGCATAATAAAAATATAATTCAAAGAAACAACTCTGCTGGCTTTTTTCTACTAACATAATTTGACCTGTAACATAACTGTTACATAAATACGTGCCATGCCATTAAGCTTTCAAGAAGATGATTACGCCAGACCTATGGTCTATATAGTTTTAAATAGATTATCAGTGTTTTAATAGCAAAGTCATAGAAAGGTTAAAGCAGAGCATTGGACTGTAAATACTTATCTTAATAGTTGATAAGCATATTGGTTTTAATTGAAATAAAGTACATTGTGTATCAACGTGTACACTTAACAAGACTTTTGTGTAAAACAGTCCACAGGAAGAAACTATTTGTTTGGTCAAAAAGAAAATAACATTTTTTAAAAATGTTTTTGGTTAAGATTTCTTGATGATTAAATCATAAAAGATTTAAATGGTGGTTTGTAACCTTTTTGGTTGAGTGCTTGATATATGTTCCAAAATCTAGCATGTAAATAGTTAACTTATATCGTGAAATGCAAAAATGCTGCATTGTTCCGATGTACGACACTTCACTTTATGTTTCATGAAAATATTAGAACACTAAAAACCAAAACGAGATTAATTTCAAAAGGAAAACGAACATCAAAGTTTGTTTAACAAAGTCAAGTAAAGCTTTATACGGCTAAAACCAGTGGCAGGTTCTTTTTCAAAGTTGAGTAAATTACCTGAATCTCGCTTAAGGTGGAAAATCTCAAGCATACGATACCCCATAACTGTGGGACAATACGGTACTCATGATTGTGAACCAACGTTGCGATCGGAGCCGTTTCCGGTGGAGAATGATAATGTGATAATTGAGCATTCGGGCGTGCCTCGGGGCAGCGTCAAATGCAGTTTTCATTTGTTGTTTTTTTTTTGTTGTATTTTTTTGGCAAGTGCATGTATTCTGCATGGATAGAGGGGTTTAAGTAGATCTTTACACGCATTTTCACTACCATGAAACTAGTGTACAGCAACTGCATATCAGGTGTTTAGGTCCGAGGTTAAGGACACACATTGAGGTCAAAGAAAAGCGCTTTTGCGGAGCAAATCTTGTACAATATACATGCATTGGAAATTTTGATATAACTTCGCACAACTGTTCACTAATTTTAGATAGAGTTTCGCGTGCAAGATTCAGGTTTCTTCAACCAATGTCAAGGCCTCACATTGAGATCAAATGTTAGTCAGGTAAAATTGACGAAATATCCAAAGCATATCTTCAACATGCATGTATAGGTATAAGTATTACTTGATTTTCACCTCCGTGATACAAAGCATTGCGATTATAAACCATTTTTTTAGTTAGACTTAGAGGTCAAAGGATAATTCTTGTTCTTCTGCATCAAGTTTTTTATTAGCTCACCTGTCACAAAGTGACAGGGTGAGCTTTTGTGATCGCTTTTCGTCCGGCGTCCGTCCGTCGTCCGTAAACTTTTACTTTAAATGACACCTCCTCATAAACCACTAAGCCAATTTCATCCAAACTTCACAGGAGTGTTCCTTTGGTGGTCACCTTTGAAAATTGTTCAAAGAATTTAATTCCATGCAGAACTTTGGTTGCCATGGCAACCAAAAGAAAAAAAACTTAAAATATCTTCTTCTAAAAAACCCAAAGAGCTAGAGCTTAGATTTTTGGCATGAAACATTTTCTGGTGAGTGTCTACCAAGTTTGCTCAAATAAAAGCCCTTGGGTCAAAATTGGCCCCGCCCCAGGGGTCATTGATTTTCCCTATATGCATATAGTAAAAACTTAAAAATTCTTCTTTTAAAGAACCCAAAGAGCTAGAGCTAAGATATTTAGCATGAAACATCTTCTAATGGGTTTTCTACCAAGTTTGTTCAAATAAAATCCCTGGGGTCAAAATTGGCCCCGTGCCAGGGGGTCATTGATTTTACCTATATGCATATAGTAAAAACTTAAACAATCTTCTTTTAAAGAACCCAAAGAGCTAGAGCTAAGATATTTAGCATGAAACATCTCCTAATGGATGTCTACCAAGTTTGTTCAAATAAAAGCAATGGGGTCAAAATTGGCCCCGCCCCAGGGGGTCATTGATTTTCCCTATATACATATTGTAAAAACTTAAAAAAATCTTCTTTTAATGAACCAAAAGAGCTAGAGCTAAGATATTTAGCATGAAACATCTTCTAATGGATGTCTACTAAGTTTGTTCAAATGAAAGCCCTGGGGTCAAAGTTGGCCCCACCCCAGGGAGTCATTGATTTTCCATATATACATATAGTAAAAACTTAAAAAATCTTTTTTTAAAAAACCCTAAGAGCTAGAGCTTAGATATTTAGCATGAAACATCTTCTAATGGGTGTCTACCAAGTTTGTTCAAATAAAAGCCCTGGGGTCAAAATTTGCCCGGCCCTGGGAGTCATTGATTTTCCAAATTTCATTATATGTGTATAGGAAAAAATTAAAAAAATCTTCTTTGGAAAAAACCAAGTAGCTAGAGTTTAGATATTAAGCGTGAAACATCTTCTAGTGATTGTCTATAAAGTTTGTTCAAATAAAAGCCCTGGGGTCAAAATTGGCCCCACCCCGGAGGTCATTCATTTTCATATATGTGTAAAACTATAGCAAAAATTGAAAATCTTCTTTAAAAAAACTCAAATAGCTTGAGTTTAGATATTAAGCACGAAGCATCTTCTAGTGAGTGTCTTCAAAGTTTGTTCAAATAAAAGCCCTGGAGTCAAAATTGGCCCCGCCCCGGGGGACATTGATTTTCCTTATACGAGTATAGCAAAAACTTAAAAATCTTCTTTGGAAAAACCCGAATAGCTAGAGTTTAGATATTAAGCATGAAACATTTTCTAGTAAGTGTCTACAAAGATTGTTCAAATAAAAGCCCTGTGGTCAAAACTGGCCCTGCCCCAGGTGTGTCATTGTTTTTAACTATATTTGTGAAGAAAAAACTTAAAAAAATCTTCTTTTAAAAATCCCAACGAGCCAGACCTTAGATGTTTAGCATGAAACATCTTCTAATGGTTGTCTACAAAGTTTGTTCAAATTAAAGCCCCGGGCTTTAAACTGGCCCCGCTCTGGGGGCCAATGTACAGTGAGCGACTTCAGGGCCATCATGGCCCTCTTGTTTAATTATACCTTAGCAATAACATAGCAGACTCTTTATGAACCACTTAGGCCCATATATTATTATTTTTAATCGAGATAGAAAATATATCAGTTTAAATCACTTATTAGCTAGACAATACAAAGTATATGGAGAGCTGTCCTACTCGCCTTGGCGTGGGCATCCGCGTCCATATGGAAAAAAACATGTTTAAATTTGCAATTGTTTAGATGCGAATATGAACATTATATCAGTTTAAGATTAAGTAATAATATTTACATTTCATACATGTTTAACAATATTTATTGTTCCTTGTCATTAAGAGCCTTAATAATTAGGTGAGCGGTATCATATTAGGGCCATTATGGCCCATTTGTTTGTGATAACATGAATTACTCTATATTTTCTTTTCTAATTTAGATATGGAACCGTATGTTGAAGTACCACAAAATGGCAGATCAGTTGTTGATGGAAATGCTACAGTGGAAGATGAAACTAAAACTAGATCATCAAGAAAGGCACCAATTTTTGAACAAGAGGATACATCTACACCTAGTCTAAGACTTAGAAGAGATTCACAACCAATTGTTATTCATAAACACCAATTTATCTACCAAGGTCCTGTAGTAAAGACTAAGGGAAAAAATACTCAGATATCTATTGGTAGTAACAAAGGGGATATGCAAATAAAGGTTAGTTTATTTATATCATTGATTTTTGTTTTGAATCTTTAATAGTCACAAGTCATTTTAGTCGCCTACCTTAAGTTTTGTGAATCATGCATGTAGGGTAAAGAATAAAAGAATAATTCAGATAAAGATTTTTTGGTGAAGTTTTATAAATGGGTTTTTATTAGACCTGTCATTGATTCAGTGCAAAGCATATTGACGATATACCATTATCCAATGACAAATGTCGGTGATATACAGATGTATTGATAAAAATGACCTTTGCTTGATTTTTTTTCTCGGCCACCTGCTTTGGATATTATTATTATCATTATTTTTCATAATTCATTGACATTTAAATAATTTATCAAATTAATTGATTTTTTCAAATGTGTATTAATTATTGATCGACAGAAAAATATCAACAATATATCAATATCATCTCTATCGTTTTATTCCTGAATTGAAAGATTTTTTTTTATAACTCAAACAAGTTTCGTTCGGGCGTATATTGCTCCGCCTTTGCGGTACTTTGTTCTTCATTTCTTATCTATTTATATGTTCTTAATGCCACAAAGAGTAATTCTCTTTACCACTAGTCCATGAAAGACATTAATTTGTATTGAACTAGTGGAAGGGTATTGAAACTACTTGGCAGAAACGTAATAATGAGACAATTTGCAGCTTGCATGTGTGACCTTTCTGATGTCAAGGTCACACTTAATCATTTTGTATCAATTTCACAATTTGGTTTTCACTCATATCTTTTAGACCATATAGGAAAAAATTATATATATTACATGACCTTTCAAAAACTATTATGAATCATGCCCTTTGTCAATAATGGCTCTGCCCCAGGGGTCACTTAATTTATGTAGACTTATATAGGAAAATCACATCTGATACTTATGATGCTAAAAACTTAGATATTTGGCATGTAACATCACTTTGTGGACTACAAAATAACTGGTATTAGTCATGCACCTTGGGCCAATATTGGTTTCATCTCAGGGGTCAATTAGTTCTTTAGCTCACCTGAGGACAATTTCCTCAAGGTGAGTTTTTATGATGGCTCATTCTAGTAGATGTTTACCAAGTTTGTTCAAATAAAAGCCCTAGGGTCAAAATTGGCCCCACCACAGGTCAATGATTTTCCTTATATTAAAAACTTTAAAAAAACTTCTTGTGAAAATCCAAAAGAGCTAAAGCTGAGATATTTGGCATAAAACATCTGCTAGTAGATGTCTGACAACTTTGTTTGAATAAAAGCCCTAGGGTCAAAATTGGCCTGGCACAAGGGGTCATTGATTTTCGTTGTATGTATGTAGTAAAAACTTAAAAAATCTTCTTGTGAAAATTCAAAAGAAGTAGAGCATAGATATTTGGCATGAAACATGTTCTAGTATATGTCTACCATGTTTGTTGAAATAAAACCCCTAGGGTCAAAATTGGCTCCACCTCATGGGATCGAGGTCAACTGTTCAATCCCCAGCCAGGTCAAATGTTTGTTTTCCTTTTTTTTTCCTGTCATCTTTTTATTAGCTCACCTCTCACAGTGACATGCTAAACTGTTTAATAAAATGTCTGTCAGAGCTAAAATTAGAAAACAACATCTAAACAACATCTCAGCCACTTGTTTAATTTTGGAATAATTTTACACTAAAATTTTCTTGGTGACGGTGTAAAAAATGGTTCAGATTAAGCTGTCCCTTGTTTTTGAAATTGTGCTTCTGGGGTGAAAAGGGGCTCCACTTTGACTGTTTGACCTTTTTCTCAGGTCAGCAATCCAGGTCCCTCTGGGCCCTGTTGTATACTTTTGTATAGAAAAACAAATTTAAGTCTTTATTTAGTGAAACTACAATGCCTAGAGTTAAGATTTTTGACATGTAGCATTGCCTTGTTGGCCTCTACAAAACTGGTATTAATCATATCCCTTGGGTCAATATTGGCCCCATCCCAGAGGTCACTTAGTTGATATAATCTTGTATGAGAAAACACTTTTCAATCTTATTTTTTGGAAACTTCAATGCCAAGAAAATATAAAGCATGTAGCATTGCCTTGTGAACATCTGCAAAATTGATACTAAATTGGCCCCCAGAGTCACTTTAATATAGGAAATCACATTTAAGTTTTATTGTGTGAAACTACAAAGCCCAGACCTTAGATATTTTGCATGCATCATCAATTTGTAGATTTCTACAAGAGATATTAATCATGACCCTCAGGTAAAAATTGGCCCTGCCCTAGGAAGACACATCTTATCTTTTTGTTAAAAATACTATATACCTCTATATATTTGGCATATAGCATTGCCTAGTAGACCTCTATAAAAGTTTTATGAATCATGCATTTAGAAATGCCTCCACCTTTGATGTCATATGGTATCAAAGGATAATTAAGATAAAACATATTTCAGACAAGCTTCTTGATTGGGTCTCTACCCTAATTGAAAGGTTATTTTTGTTTACTTAAACAAATTTACATATTGGCCCGCTTTTGCAGTGGTCTTGATTTTTTCTGTGATGAATTATACTGTTACTGTAACATTCAATTAGAATCACCAACATTATATAAATGATAAACACAATGTAAAAGCTATTGATGTTTGTTCAATATTGCAGCATAACATGGATGATGCTGCTAATAGTGAAGATGAACCACTGTTATCTGACCAAGATCATGAAGATGTAACCAAACAAGTAGTTCCTTTTGACGTTCATGATACAAAATCTCATCCTACTAGTGTAGAACAAGGGGATAATGATAATAAGAATGGTGGTATTATAAATTATGATGATGTAAATAGAGGAGAGGTTTTTGATAGTGTCAATGATGAAAATGAAAAAATTGGTGGACATGAAAATAATGAAACAAGTCTTAAATCAGACAAAGTTGAAGATAGCTCTTTAGATGAAAGAAAAATTGAGACAGATAAACCTGCCACTAAACAGCTATCAGGAACAGACAGGAAAGAAAAGTCAACTGAGAAAATATTAAAAAGAGGAGTGTCTGAATCACATGAAAGCTTGTTCAACATTGAAGATGTTAAAGCTCAATTCAGTAATATGGATGAATACAAACGTAAGATTATTCTTGGTTTATTGCCTACATTTGTAAGATCATTTTGAAGTGGTCAATGTGAGGTATAGTGATGGGGCTATGTCCAGCGTCCTGTGTCGTTCGTTGTCAACAATTTGGTTGTTAACAGTCTAGCAGTCACAGTTTAAATTTGATCATCATCAAACTTTGTCAGAATGTGTGTCTCAATAAAATACAGATTGAGTTGGAAGATAGGTCATCTCAGGTCAAAAACAAGGTCACAGGAGTTAAAAATAGAAAAATTTGTTAACACTCTAATGGCTGTAGTTTTGATCCAAATATCCTGAATATTGGTCAGGAAGATTGTTTTGATGATTTCTAGGTCAAGTTCAAATATGGGTCATCTCTGGTTAAAAGATAGGTCAAAGGAGTTAAAAATAGAAAAATCTTGCTAACACTTTAATGGCTGCAGTTTTGAACCAAATATTCTGGAAATTTGTCAGGAAGGTTGTTTTGATGATTTCTAGGTCAAGTTCGAAGATTGGTCATGTCCGGTCAAAAACTAGGTCACAGGAGCTTAACCTTTTACCCCATGAGCATATTGCGAAAAATGGCCGTTTTCATTGAAAAGCCTCCTGTAACAAGTTCAAACTGCTATGAAACTGTGAAAAATGCTTCAATACTAATGAAACTTGGCACAAATGTTGACTACACCATAGCCTCTGTAACAGCATGCTCAATGGTAAATTTCCTGTTACCATGGCAACGGGGGGACGTCTCAAAATTGCCATAAATCACTATTTTGCATGGTTTTTTTCCATCAAAACTGATTTCAAAGTGCTGCAATTTCTCAATGAATTGAGATAAAGTTAAAGGCTTTTCAGCATCGGTTACTAGTTACCCTAAGATCGACCTGAGGCCATTTTTAGCCTGTCACATGTCCTAAATTTTCTTGGAGATGAGGGGGACTCCGCCCCCCTTCAAACCCCCCAAACAGAAGGGGGCACATCCCCCTTCTGGCAACCCCCTGATGTAATATTTGGATGGGGGACGGCGCCGAAAAAATGGTCAATTTTTTTAACAACATTTCTCAAACGAAAAACAGTGTTTGGGGCCTAAAAAGGGCATTTTTTCACTGTTTGAGGCCTCAAAAAGGGGGGGGGGGCAAAAAGCCGTCGAAACACGCTTATATAAGGGAAAAGGTTAACAAAAAATGATGTAAATTCTTGGAATTACACAAAAACTAGATTTTCCATGTAAACACATGCCCTAACACCGAAATTTGGTGAAAAATTGTTGTTTTTTGACATTTTTTATTTTTTCTATTAACCTTTTACCCCATGAGCATATTGCGAAAAATGGCCGTTTTCATTGAAAAGCCTCCTGTAACAAGTTCAAACTGCTATGAAACTGTGAAAAATGCTTCAATACTAATGAAACTTGGCACAAATGTTGACTACACCATAGCCTCTGTAACAGCATGCTCAATGGTAAATTTCCTGTTACCATGGCAACGGGGGGACGTCTCAAAATTGCCATAAATCACTATTTTGCATTGTTTTTTTCCATCAAAACTGATTTCAAAGTGCTGCAATTTCTCAATGAATTGAGATAAAGTAAAAGGCTTTTCAGCATCGGTTACTAGTTACCCCAAGATCGACCTGAGCCATTTTTAGCCTGTCACATGTCCTAAATTTTCTTGGAGATGAGGGGACTCCGCCCCCTTCAAACCCCCCAAACAGAAGGGGGCACATCCCCCTTCTGGCAACCCCCTGATGTAATATTTGGATGGGGGACGGCGCCGAAAAATGGTCAATTTTTTTAACAACAATTTCTCAAACGAAAAACAGTGTTTGGGGCCTAAAAAGGGCATTCTTTCACTGTTTGAGGCCTCAAAAAGGGGGGGGGGCAAAAAGCCGTCGAAACACGCTTATATAAGGGAAAAGGTTAACAAAAAATGATGTAAATTCTTGGAATTACACAAAAACTAGATTTTCCATGTAAACACATGCCCTAACACCGAAATTTGGTGAAAAATTGTTGTTTTTTGACATTTTTTATTTTTCTATTAATCTTTTACCCCATGAGCATATTGCGAAAAATGGCCGTTTTCATTGAAAAGCCTCCTGTAACAAGTTCAAACTGCTATGAAACTGTGAAAAATGCTTCAATACTAATGAAACTTGGCACAAATGTTGACTACACCATAGCCTCTGTAACAGCATGCTCAATGGTAAATTTCCTGTTACCATGGCAACGGGGGGACGTCTCAAAATTGCCATAAATCACTATTTTGCATTGTTTTTTTTCCATCAAAACTGATTTCAAAGTGCTGCAATTTCTCAATGAATTGAGATAAAGTAAAAGGCTTTTCAGCATCGGTTACTAGTTACCCCAAGATCGACCTGAGGCCATTTTTAGCCTGTCACATGTCCTAAATTTTCTTGGAGATGAGGGGGACTCCGCCCCCCTTCAAACCCCCCAAACAGAAGGGGGCACATCCCCCTTCTGGCAACCCCCTGATGTAATATTTGGATGGGGGACGGCGCCGAAAAAATGGTCAATTTTTTTAACAACATTTCTCAAACGAAAAACAGTGTTTGGGGCCTAAAAAGGGCATTTTTTCACTGTTTGAGGCCTCAAAAAGGGGGGGGGGCAAAAAGCCGTCGAAACACGCTTATATAAGGGAAAAGGTTAAAATAGAAAAAATCTTTTTAACACTCTAGTGGCTGCAGTTTTGATCCAAATTTCCTGGAAATTGGTCAGGAAGGTTATTTTGATGATTTCTAGGTCAAGTTTGAATATGGGTCGTCTTCGGTCAAAAATTAGGTCACATTGCCCAAATATGGAAAAACCTTTTTAACACAATAGAGGTCACATGTTTGACTCAGTTGTCATCAAATTTGGTCAGGATGCTTGTCTAAGACATTGCTTGGATGCGGTTGATGAGTCAGGTGAGCGATCCAGGGCCATCATGGCCCTCTTGTATATAAAATGGTGCAAATTCCAACCATAATCAGTGGAAGTGCCACAAATTCTGATCCTTGTGACTGATTTAAAGGTTGCATGTACAGGCCAAGGCCGATTTGAAATATTAAAATGCGTATAATGAACATTTAGGTAGATTTTAATAGAGGAATTATATGAAAGATGTTTGCAATCACCGGACTTCGGCTTGCCAGCACAAGTCCGGTTAATATATTCAAGATTAAGGCTTTAATATATCATGAAATGTCCAGATTTTGTACGGAGCATATCTTCAAGCTTGGATGGATTTTAGTATTACTTGATACAAATGTTCATCGCTGTAAGTGCATCAACCAGGGCTTTAAGTCAAAGGTCAATGTCAGACTTAGATCAGAGGGAAGTAGGAGTCCAGAGCAAACGTTCCCAACACATTAAGTGACTTCAATATAACTTGACACAAAATTGTCGGGCACAAAATTCAGGACAATGTGACCAAGTTTAAGGTCACAATAGAATACAAGTTCAGATAAATAATATAAAAATGTGTGGCGTCTTAATTTGAAGGGTTTTATGACAAATAATCACAATAATGGGACTGGATATTGCCAGCAGGTTAATGTAAAAATGTAAAGATTCTATCTGGAGCATATCTTCTACAAATATAGAGGGATGATAAAACTTTGCATGCATTGTAATATTACTTGGCACAAATGTTCACATTGCGGGATTGGCGTTTTGCGCAATAATTCAGGTTCTTTGGCAAGGCTAAAGGTCATATGCAGTGGTCAAAGTCATCTTCAATTGTTGGATTTGGATGCAATTGTCCTCTTTAATGAGACTGATCATTTGTTACGATTTTTTTTACCAATTAACGTTCTTGTTATGTCATCATTTTAATGCATATTCCATTATTATCACATAAATCGCGGCGCAGGAGTGTAATACAGCCATTTAATAAAAACGATATTACACTAGTGTAATAACACATTGACGTGACGTCATTTGCGCTACATATAAATAAAGCGTTAAAGCGCGCTAATGTTAGCGTTATAATATGGGAGCATCATTGAAAAATTACACATTTTAGCAGTTCTTATTTTAGCTCTTATTTTATATATGTGATAAACAGAATATTATATTCGTGTAGATTCAATACTAAATTTATTGAACTCGTTGAATAAAACAATATTATGCTCGCCAGAGGCTCGCATAATATGACTTTATTCAACTCGTTCAATAAATTTAGTATTTAACTACACTTATTCAATATTCTCTATTAAACAATAATTTGAAGCAGTTTGTTGTTCAAAATATTAAACATTTCCCGCGTGAGGTGGGGTGTAAACATGAGTTAAATATAACTGTGCAAGCTGAAACTTAACTATTAAACAACAACAGTAGTAAAATACTTTACTTTAATAGTAGTAAAGTACTTTAAAATATGCCAAATCTTCATGTTTTATGTAAACTCTTTCAACATCTGTTACAGAGACCATTAACGCTCTTCATGCCAAAACTAATAAATATTTAAAACATAAATTTATGTTTTTTAAGTGATGTACATTGTACTTTGAAGAAGCAAATTTTGTACTGCTTTCTCAGTTACATTTCATCTTTCAAGGACAAAGACGAGTTCAGAATAGTTAGGAAATTTATTTTTTTTTACTTAAAATCTTAAGATAACCTAACTTCTATTTACACTGGCTCATTTTCATATAGGAAAAGTCATACATAAATTAATAGGGCAAGCATAGGATGAGTAATCCAAAGTATGCCGATTCGTTTCTCGGACAAGGCGTTATTTCTCCTTCACAAAAGTTGTATAGTGGAACCCCATTGTATCGTGCTATTAATTGTATCGAGTTGTATAGTGGAACCCCATTGTATCGTGCTATTAATTGTATCGATCTATTTTACAAATTTTTAGATTTTTTGCAAAATACGCAACCTACTGGTTGTTAACTTTTAAAACAGTGTCACGAAAATCTTTCGCATTGTTTTTGTGCAGAAGAAATGATCAAAAACATGTTTCCAGTACGTTAGACATTGTAGACAATAAATAGACTTATTAATAATGTGTTCTTATTAAAAGTACATTTACTGTCTGTTAAAAGTTCCTAAA